TGCTAACTGTAAGGTCGGCAGTTCGAAACCACCAGCCGCTCCGAGGGAAAAAGATGGGGCTATCTACTCCCGTCAAGAGTGACAGTCTGGGAAACTCCCTGGGGCAGCTCTACCTTGTCTGATAGGGCCTCTAGGAGTTGGAGTCACTCCATGGCAGTGAGTTGTTTGTTTGTTTTTTACTAGTGTGGCACTTTGTGCTAAAAAGTGATCTCAGGGAATAGTTTCAAGTGCAAGGTTCAAAGAGTAGTGACTCAGTGAGCCTTCTGGTCTCAACCGATCCAGTTGGTCTGGCCTTTTTAAAGAATTTGAGTCTTACTCTACAGAGTAAGGGTTATTTTGAGAAAAAGGATGAAATGGAGCTCCCTTCATGATCCAGAATACAAATAAAAAAATAATACTTAAAAAAAAAACTCAGGAAATCTTAGAACCACAACCAAAGAACAGCAAGAGGCAGGGTGACTTGTGTCACGTTACCATTTCCCTCTTCGGTTTGGCGAGGACAGAAGATGATGGTCTTAAAGGATGACAGAGCGTTATGATAAGTTTATTTTGGTAGGCATCCCAATTACGGCATTCTTGCTAACATGATCACTCTTGGAGCAGACTGGCAGCTATGGGTCTAGTCAATCTTTTTCTTCTACACCAGGAACAGCCTTTGTTCACTGTCTTGCTTCTGGAGTATGTCAATCTCTGGATACATTGTGCTTACAGGGATTTTTTTTTTAAAACCAAACCACCATTCCAGTGGACGCTAGGCTAATCTACAAGACCCTGCTGGCACCATCCGGTCCTTGAGAGCAGAGATGCCCAAGATGCCTTGGGAAGACCTATATGTGTCAGTAGGCAGATGATAAATCTCAGGAATAAATACAGGGGCTCATCCACTTATTGAACTAGCCAGGGACCTGGGTATGCCGACATATTGCCTACAAAATAAAAGACAAGTCGCTGTACATCATACCCCCCACTGCTAAGAAAGAGGTTCCTTGGTGGACATTTTTTTCATTTGAGAGGTTACATATGCCACTGTTATTGTCAGCAGCCATTGAGTTGATTCCTCTGGACAATAATCTTGTGTGCAGAGCAGAACTGCCCCACAGGGATTTCGAGGCTGGGAAGCACATTCCCAAGCTCATCTTCTGAGGCACCTCTGGGTGGGTTTAAACCATCATCCTTTTGGATAGTAGACCAACACTTAATTGTTTGCTCTACGAGGGGCCCAACATAGACCACAGTTACCCAAACCAAAAATCCAACCTTACTACCATCAAGTCTGACCTGCCCGTGAGTTTCCGAGACTGTAACTCTTCTTAGGAGTAGAAAGCCCTGTCTTTCCCTCTCAGAGCAACTGGTGGTTTCGAACTGCTAACCTTTCAGTTAGTAGCCCAACAGGTAACCACTATGCCTCCAGGGCTCCTTCATACCATGGTAAAGCACGTGATTTGACCTATTACTGGGTTGTGTGAAAGCTGCCAACTTTAGAGGAACCACACAAGGAACAAAGGTTCTACTGACCCTGGCGGAAGTCTAAGTACTTTACCTTTGACCTTTATAACTCATTTATAACGCATTTTGGAGTGATGTTATGCACTCTTTCAGCAAATAATTATTCACCTTTTGAGAAATAGCTCTTCACTCCCTCCAGAGGTCTGGTGAAAGTGGAT